CGTAATTCACGTTTCGCTGCTACAAAGTTCGTACCATTATCTGATATCACCTCCAGGGGCAACCCGCGACGACTGGTCATCCGGGAAAACGCCGACAAGAAGGAATTGGCGTCTAGACTCCAAGCCATTTCCAAATGCACGGCGCGAGTAGCACAACACGTGAAGAGACATAAATACCGTTTTGTTCTAGATTTTCCTCTGCCTTCTTTCGTTAAAAACGGTCCAGCGTAATCCACACCACACCTAGCAAATGCTCTCATGGGTAGTCCTATTCTTGACTTGGGTAGCGGCGCCATGATTTGCGTCGCTGCTTTGGCTCGATTCTTTTTGCATGTGTTGCATTTTGACTGATAGGACTTGATTGCTTCTCGCCCGTGTACGATCCAAAACCGTGTTCGAATGTCAGCAAGAACGTGATTCACACCATTTTCATGATTTCCCATTTCATGATATTTACCAACGATGAGTTTATTTATTTAACTTTGCCATTATCATGCATTCATGGCAGGGTCACCACAACAGTATATGGTACCAATTACTGTGGGCCCTTTAAATTTTAAATAGATAATAAAACACAAATTAAACACAACGAAAACTTCGATTTACCTGATCAAAGTCATCACACGAATTGGAACTTGAAGCCAAGCAAACAAATTCCTCGAAGTTTTCGTTGTATTGTATTTCACAAACATACGTAATTAGCTGCTTGCAAATTTTATAAAACATATAACAATTCATAGAATATAAAATAGCTATTGAAACATAATAAACAAGGCTAGGAAGATCTGACAACTTCGAAAAATAGATCAAAACAGTAAAGAACCTGGACGTGCACAAATTGACACAAATCTATCCAAATTTAGACAGAACATAAAATTAAGACTTACAACCTTCCTAATCATGTTTATATTTCAATAACTATGAGACACTAATAACAGCAAGAGAGTGGAGCAGCAAGACTACGAGCAGTGTTACACTTTAAGCAGATAGACTTCCATGTCCGAGGATTTTGGGGTTGATAATTTAGGTATAAGGCAGTTTTGAAGTAGTCTAACAGCAGAGATTTAAATCGTGGTAAAGTGAGAGACTGGTGTTTCAGTTCTGCAGGAAGAATGTTCCAAACTCTTGCTGTTCTATTCATGAACGACCCTTGGAATGTTACTGTTCTGCATTTTCTAATCCTGAACGTAATGATGTCAGAATTGCTCGTAGCTCGCGTTGTTCTTATATTTCCATGCTTCCGTTCAGGGATTATCTCCTCACTAACGCACACCAACCCGTTAAACATATTGAAGAAAAACGTCAAGTCTAAATATTCATGCCAGAAACTAATCGGTAGTAAATCGGTAGCTTGTAGTCGATCCTCGTAGGTTAGTTCGCAGTGGAATGGAAGGTTTAGTATGAATTTTGTTGCACGACGCTGCACTCTTTCGACGCGCTTGATAAGCTCGATGGTCTGAGGGGCCCAAATCTGGGTGGCCTAGCCAAGGTGTGGTCGTACAACAGAGGAACAGACATCTTCTTGTTCTCTGGCTTCGTATCTCCCGGGAAGATCTCCTGACAAATCCCAGAAGTTTGTTCGCTTTTGAAGTCTGTTCGACAACTTGTTTCTTCCAGCACAACTCATTCGACACCCATACACCGAGATCTTTCTCATTCGACACCCATACACCGAGATTCACAGTCTTGGGCAGATCGTTCACATATAAAAGAAAGAGCATTGGTCCAAGGATGGAACCTTGAGGAACTCCAGATGTTACTTTGCGTTCTTTCGATATCGCACCAAGTACCGTAGCACGTTGTCTTCGCCCACGAAGGTAGGAGGTAAACCAGTTCAACAGGTTACCAGAGATGTTGTACTGGCGTAGTTTATCAAGGATAAGAGAGTCTTGCACTTTATCAAAGGCCTTCGACATATCCGCTAGATAAATCACATCAGTCTGCTTGCCAGTGTCTAGTAAGGAGCCAATGTAGTCGATAACTTCAACCAGTTGAGTCACACAGGATTTTCTAGGAATGAATCCATGTTGCGCACGGTCTAACATCAGTAATAGACGGTCACGCAGACGAATCAGAACACACCGTTCTAGAACTTTCGAGATAATACTTAGCAGGGATATTGGACGATAGTTCTCAACAAGATCTTTGTTATCTTGTGTATCGGCACAATATTTGCCAGTTTCCACTCGTCTGAAAATACGCCTGTCTCGAGTGACTTGTTGTAGAGTAAAGTTAAAGAGGGTGCCATCTGTTCAGTTGTTTCTTTTAGTAGCCTTGCCGAGATCTCATCAGGTCCAGTTGCTTTGCTGCCGTCAAGGAAACGAGGTGCAGCGGCAACCTCTCAGGGTGAGAGAGATATATCTTGAAGGACTGGACAGCTAATAGTAGGTAATTGGGGGCGAGGTTCTTCTGTATCGCCAGAAAATACCGATCCAAAATGTTGGTTGAAGGCTTCTGCGATGTCGACAGAACTAGAGACAACTTTCCGAACGGATGTGACACCCGTGGCCGTGTTTTTGCTGCTAGATGGTACAGACATTTGCTCAGGAACGCCGCTTGCTTTATTGCCAAGTTTGAAAACGGACCAAAATCGTTTTGGGTTTGCTTTAATGTCCTGTTCTAATGATTCGAAGAATCTTGCCCGACTGTCACTAATCATACGTTTGACCATAGATCGTAATTGTTTGAATTTGGTAGACAAGTATGTTGAGGACGAATGTTTTAACTTCCTAAGTACAGATTCTTTCTTCCGTATCATATACAGAATGTCTCCAGTTATCCAGGGTGGTGAGCTCTTGCCCTTGATCTTTCTCGTGGAAATAAGTTCACGTACTGCGCACACAAACTTTGCTTTCCATTGCAGCCACGCGACGTTCACATTCGTACTGCTTTCTACGACGTTGGAGAGGTCAATATTATGCAAAGTCGAGCGCAGTCCTTGAAAGTCGCCTTTTAGGTAGTCGTATACGTGTCTATTCTGCTTAGTTTGAGCTTTTACGTTGGCTTTTACTTCGAAAAAAATACAGTTACGATCGGTTACAATGCCACTTTCTTGTGGCAGCAGGATGTCGTTTACTTTTACTTGATCGGGTGCGCTTGTAATAATGAGGTCCAAGATGTTTTCACCTCTAGTCGGTTGATTATTTACTTGCGAGAGAAAGTAGTCATTCAGGAGTTCAGTAAATTGTAATTCGTCAGACCCCGTAGTCTGATCCGGAGAATCCCAAATAATTTTTGGTAGATTAAAGTCTCCATAAATTACGATATTATCATAACTTGTTGACAAAATAGCGAGGTATGAATCAAATAAATTTAGCCAATTTCTGTCCGAGTTAGGTGGTCTATAGTGGTCTTTGTCCTTGAGTTTGTTGTCAATTCTACAGTGACCAATTCAAGTTTACATTGTTCTTCGACTATTTCATGTACAGAATGGAATGAACTTGATTTGACTGCTAATAACACACCACCAGCACGGCTTCCTCGGTCCTTCTTATATATCTCGTAATCGTTAGATAGTATTTCTGCGTTACTAAAGCCTTTATTTAGCCAAGTTTCCGTTACAAACGCAAGGTCTACGTTTTCCGTGTATACAAGTTCTTGGAAGCGTGCGAAGTTACTAATTTGTTGACCATTAACTAAATGCGAACTTTTCAGGCTTCGAGCGTTGATTGCGAGACAATTTAACGAAGAAATTATGCAAGGTTGATTTGTTCCAGGTGAACAAGGTCCAGGGTTCGTTGCAATATGCAAGCTAGAGTAGGATAGACGCATGCGAGATCTTGCGATTAATTTGTAAGTGTAAGCCGTAGCGATGCTGGTTATTGCATGGTAAGTTATACTTTCTGAATACAACATCACGGGTGGATACCCAAACATAGCATAGTTTTTCGGGCAGAGAAACAAGTTCGGAGCAGATTAAAATGTTTTCTGATGTAATTTGGGTCTTATTAGCGTATCGATTAACTTTCACAGACAATTTCAAAATTGAAAAAAGAATTAACAGGTTAATTATGAAGCGTCCAATCTTAACTAGACTTTTCTTTCCATCTGAAGTGTTTTTTAAAACCATTTCTGAATTTAAAACTTACACTCACGTGATATAAAGGTTTCTACAGCAAAACTTCATCAAATCTATCAGCATCATGATGGAGAAAGTACGATATAAATGTTCTGTTGATTAGATCATTTAGCAGACGGCGGTCGTCGGTCGATAACACTTGAGGGGATTTGTAATTAATACGGAAAATACTTGGGATTATATTTCACTGCAATGTCAGGGAAACTGACCACGCCAATGAAAGAAAAATTAATCAATAGTATATTAGTATAGACTAGATAGATAGCAAACAGTTTAACATCAGCAGAGTTGATTAACTTGTAAGCCACCACAATAAAATAAAGTCCTTGAATTGTTTACTGTTCCAGAACTTGAAATAATAAAAGATATAAAGCCACGAAGTCACGCGCAAAATTCAAATTTACTGTTGCTAGGAAACGTTAGCCCTGTCAAAACAAATCCCAACGGTCAAGGTATAAAATATTAAAAATAATTGCGAGAACACAGTATATTCGAAAATAAATAACTTGTATAGTATGAAGCAATACCAAGGACCAAGGCCAAGCACTGTAACAATTATTATGTTGATATTTAAATAAGCAATCACTATCGGAAAAACGCTATGTCTATACAAACTGTGAGACTCTTCGTATATCAAGCGGTCAAATATATAACCTGAAATTATAACCACAGGAAGATACCAAACGACCCAAAAATTGTCAGTTGATGATCACAATATTCTTAGCTTCAGAAATTAACGGAATAAATTGAAAAAATATCTAAAGTAGATTCACTTTTAGCCAATAAATTGCCAACGGTTGCCACCACGTCAGGCCTCGTAAGGTCAATATCATATCAAAAATGACATAGTTATTGATATGAGTTTTGTTATGTAAGCCTGTCTCGGTAGAATAATGGGGTTTCTTGTCTCTAATAGCATAAACTATGTTGCATCTAGTAGCATAAACTTGAGTGGTGAATGAATGGATGTCTGCGTCAGATGAACAAGTTCAGTTGATTCTTTTTTCTTTTCTTCAGATGTTCCTTCTTCAGGAATAACATAGCGTTGGTCAGGCCAAGGACCGCTGTGTAAAAACGAAGGCCCGTTCATCCAAGTTTCACATGCGACGAGCTGTTCCGATGTGATTCCTCTTGTGGCAACATCGGCTGGATTAATTGCTCCAGGAAGATGTTTCCACTGTATAGGCGAAGTAGATTTTTGGATTTCTGCAACACGGTGTGCAACGAAAGGTTTGAATTTGGAGCTACTACCATTTACCCAATAGATAACATTCTGAGAATCAGTCCAGAAGTGGTGTTGACTCAAAGGAATTTGTAAACTTCTTGAAATGTAATCACTCAATCGTAGGCCGAGTACTGCTGATAGAAGTTCTAATCTTTGTGCAGTTAATTCTTTTAAAGGAGCGACTCGCGATTTAGCTGCTATAAACACCACTGAAACTGTTCCATCGTGATAAATGTTCTGAATGTATGAAACCGCGGCGTACGCTTGCGTTGAGGCATCAACAAAGTGTGAACTGATTGACTATTAACACTTTGATCTTGTCGAAGGCATCTTCTCAACTTTAATTCTCCAAGTTGAGTAAGCTGTTCAAACCACTGTTTCCACGATTTGGACAAATCATCAGGTAGTTTCTCATCCCATGTGAGATGCCGACTCGAGGCTTTCTGTAGGAGAATTTTGGCTTGTATTGTAAATGGGCACAAAATCTGCAACGGATCAAAGATTTTGGCTGCAAAACGTGTAACGACTCTCTTCGTTAATTCATCAGGTATAGGTGGTGCTGCGTATTGAAAAGTTAACAAGTGATTGCTAGCTTCCCAAGTAACTCTCAGAGCTTTGATTGTTGGCAAAGTTTTGTCTCGTATCTCTATACTTCCTTGAGCACGATCCAAAGGAGAGACGTCCGCCATCACAGCTGCTTCGTTGCTGCACCATTTTCTAATTTTCATTCTAGCTTGAGCCATCATTACCGTTAAATTATGTCGAAGATTAATTACTTCTGCTACGTTCGAGACTGAATCCAAGGTGTCATCCATCTACATTGAATCCAAGACTGTCCTCGCAGCATCCGGGTATTCATTTGCATTTCTCTTTGCATGTTCTCGACACACACCTTGAGCCAAGTAGGGGGACGCTTTATCTCCAAACACCAAATGGTTGAAATTCATAAACATCAGGCTTTCCGCTTTTCAGGTCACGCCACAGGAAAGAATGATATGGACGATCATTTTCTGCCATAATAATTCGCAAAAACATCTCGCTAATGTCACCCGATAAGGCACTCCTGTCGCGGCGAAAACGTAGAAGTACGTCCAAAACTTCCTTCTGTAGCTTAGGATCAGTGTGCATAGAATCATTCAGGCTTTTCCCTTGAAAACTACACGATGCGTCAAAGACTATTCTGACTTTCGTCGTTGATCTATCGTTGCGCATCACAGGAAAATGTGGAAGGTACCACTTCGGTCGTTGCTTTTCTTGGCGGGTAAGTTTCCGAATATACCTATTGGACAAATGATCTTCAATTACTTTCTGGTAACTCTCGGCGACATTCGAACGTCGTTTTAAAGACTGTTCGAGTGTTTCTAGACGTTTATAAGCCAAGTTGTAATTATTTTCCAACTGTGGTTCGTTATTCTTCCATGATATTCCTACCTCGTAGCGACCGTTGACATAACGTAAGGAATTCGCAACTTTCTTCTCAGCTTCCAAATCGTCTGGAGTGTATGTCTCTTCTTTGCCTGGTACTAAGCCGATAGATTCGAGATCCCAAAAGCGCTGTAGGGTACAGTCCAAATTATCCCCTTCATCTTCTTTCATCGCAATGTGAAAAGCACAATGAGAACGTACTTCAGATAGAGCAATGTTTCTCTGACAGGGTCCAATGCACGTCCAACCCAAGGGTGTTCTTCGAGCGACTGGTTCACCCTGTGAACCACGAATTTCTTCAAGAGGTGAGTGAAATTCAATAGCGTTGATTCCAATCAGGATGTCGACGACTCGGTTGCGTGAAGCTTGAGGAAATTCAAGGTGACGAAGGTGGGGCCATTCACTCTTTTGTTTGTTCCAATCAATCAATCAATCAATCAATCAATCAATCAATCAATCACATCAAGTCCTGGAGTTACAGTATCCTTGGTCCAAACATCAACTCGACTACTGAATGTGCTATCAAGACTTTCCACATTGATTTGAACACGGGTGCTATTGAACGTCGTCTTTCCGGTTAAGGTAGAAACGTGAAGTTGTTCAGGTGTTCCTTGCAATTTAAGTTTATGAGCAATATCTTCCCGAACATACGAAGCGGTACTTCCTTCGTCAAGGAAGGCATTGGCTACAATGCGTTGATTGCCATTAACCAGAACGACAGGAACTGTTCAAAGTGCTATAAATTGTGATCCATCATCGGTTACGTGATTACTGATTGACGTAGATGGAGTGGATTCTTGAGGGGGTGAATTAGTTTTGCTTAGATCATTCTGAATTTGTCTCTGTTCCTCATTTTGTTGCTCGGTGGTAGTTGACTGTTCAACATTATCCTTTCCCCTCGCTTTGGGCTGATATCGGTGGAGCAATGGGTGATGTCGACTGTGACATTCCGAGATTGGACACGTCTCATCTTTATCGCATTTTACACTTTGATGACCTGAGTTCAAGCATTTAGAACATAACTTCTTTTCTCGAACAAATTCCCAACGTGCTTTTAGGGACATCGACTTGAACCGATAACAGTTCGAAATATAATGTTTCTTGTTACATTTGAAACAAATAGACGTCGTTTTTCTGTTGTTCTGTGCTAACGCGTATGTGTTATTGCGACGATTCGGTCTTCTTTCTCGATCATTCTTTAGAACACCCTCAACATCTTCTTGGGCATGCACTTTATGTCTCGAATAGACCAACAGCCAATCTCGTAGGGCTTCCAAAGTAGATCTATGATGTTGGTAATCAAGCCACGCATAGTATGTTTCCAGTAGGCTTGGAGATAATTTTGACTTAACCACACTATACAACATACCGGCTTCCAACTCGTCATACCGTCGACGATTCTTTAATGTAACTACGCATGTGTTTAGACGCCGAGAAAATTGTCGAATATCTTCTACAGTCTTTACTTGTTTTACATCGCGTATAAGATCCATTTGACGGTTAATAAACCGCTCATCTCCTCCATATTCATCTTCAAGAATTTTTCACGCGCTATAATAATCGCTGCTTTCCCAGCCAAGATCTTCGAGAAGTTCTTCCGCTTCCCCTCGTAAAAGCGACCGCAGACGGATTAACTTATGCATTGTTGAAGCGTCAGTTTTATCAACACACACGGTGAATCGAGCTTTCCATTCTTCAAACTTGGTTTTGTCGCCAGAAAATGTTGGTAAATGAATTCGTTCTAAATGGTTTGATAACTTGTTACTGTTCCCCTCATCCGCTCGTGTAGATCTAGATAGTTCGACCTTTGAGGGACCAGTTAAAGACGTATTTATTCTCTGATTTGTTCTCATAGGTGTTTGACGCTAGCGTTGGTCTCTGAGAGCTCTCCATAATTCGAGGTTGTTTTCGGCTTCCCTTCTCGGTTGACTTGATTGTTTAACCATATCGTGGTCACGTAAGGATACGTTTGTTTGTCTATTTGTCATTACAGGCATTTGAAGATCACTGACAGCTTGTCGTGCAGCCCTGATAGTTTTAATTTCTTCTTCTAACTGACGTATTTCTTTCTCTACACTGTCCGAGTTTGAGTTAAGTTGTGACCTTTCATTTGTTGTTGCACGAATGTTTTGCTGTGATTCAACCCAGTCAACTGTATCACGATAATTGTCTGGTTTACTTTTCCCTGAGGCTGCTGTCTTTTTTCTTATACTTTTTCGCTCTTCTCTTCGTCTTGAAATTCTTGCTGTCGGTGAATAACACGCTTAGAAGTAGCTTTTAGGTTAGCTTTATCTCTGTGATGGGCAATTGAATCTAGATTCATTGTCGGTATTTCAATTCAGGCATTTCATGCTTCATTGTTTCGAATAAATTACCAGATTGTTGTTTATCCGTAGACTTCGAAATCTTGCTTTTTACAGTGGCGCTTTTCTTGCTAGATCTTACAGATGAATTTCTACTGCTAGAGTGATTGTCCAAGTATCGAGCTACAGCTGATTTAACCTCCAAAGCTTCGTCAAATAACTTGTCTAACCACTGGTCTAATTGAGTCACACGAGCGTCTGCTTTAAGTACTGTAAACAAATATCGTAACTTCAAGCATGTCTCTTTAGCTTCGCTTCTAATTCTTTTAACTCGGCGAAAAACTGTTCTACCTCACGACACGAAGCGGAGGCATCCTCCAGTAACGAAATAATTCGATTTCGGATCTTCGTAAATTTGCTTTTGCTTGTTTTGCGACTAGCGATACGCCAAGCTATCTCGAGCTCTTCTTTATTCGGTGTCTCATCATCAGCAGTTTCAGTTGTCTGGTCTCCAGAGACCACTTGCGCCTCCGCGGCACTCCCTCGAGACATAATTTTTGAACTACCAAAGAGATTCGAATTCCGGTTCGAAGGACCATTTGTTACCACGATTTAAGTCACACAAAAATACAATTATTTATTCACACATATCTACATATTTACATGACTAACATTACACTAAAGATTGTGTGATGTTCATAAGTTCCTTAATGCGCATGCTCTTTGTAACACATGGCCTTCAAATTCGAATTACACGCTGCATTGTCATTGGTCGGCTTTCAAAACAACAACAGGACAATCGCAGAGGCCATTCTCTAACTCCCCAAACGTTCGCTCTCTTACCGGAAATGTTCTGTTGTTGTTTTGAAAGCCGACTAATGACAATGCAGCGTGTAATTCGAATTTATTCGGTAAACAGGTACGTTTCCATGGCAACGAAGCCATGCATGAACGTTTAATAATATAAATTTATATTATGTATAATATAAATGTAAAGTCAACATAGGCTCAAAGTTTCATACTCGATCTAGGGCATATATGAGGCAAACAAATTTTGGGAGTCATTCCACCTTACAGGTAAACTACGTGAAGTGTTCCTCTTTTGAGTTCCTAAGTTGATTGCGATTTTCGTCATTACCTTAGCAAATTTGAAAAACTCCCTTGCAAATCCCTTGAGGTAATTTGCAATGTTATTATGATCAAATTAAATTTTCCTAACAAAAACAATCCACAAATATACTCCACCTAATAACGGCTAACAAAAATAATCCACCAATGATAACGCTCAGAACAGAACAGGAAGTTAGGAAATTAAAACAGGAAGTTAGGAAAATTTGAAAGGAACTTTCTTTGCGTTGCAACGGCCGACAGGAAAATTGCAAATTCCCTCAAGGGATTTGCGAAGAGTTTTTCAAATTTGCAAATCTAATTTTGAAAATTCAAAATGAGTTAGGAACACAAAAGAAGAACGCTAAATATAGTAGCGGCTTCATGTAGTTTACCTGTAACACGTCGATGGCATATAATCTACTTCGTCGATTCAAAAATTGTGTTGATTTTTATAGTTTAGTGTTGAAATCCATATTAAAACCTTTCTAGATAGAACAGGCCATTGAAACGTTAATACGCAAATGTCGAGTTAGAACTATATATACACATTTAACGCTTGCAGGCTATAGGCTGGCTAGGCCCTCCAACAGGTTCGACATGGAGATCTGCAATTCTGGTACGGTATACTCTGAGACTATACGTTCGGTTGGGAAGAACGGCCAACCTCAAGTTCGTCTTACCTTGCAAGATAGTCCTTTCATTTCATGGAGTTTAACAATTGTACAATCACTCTCTCATATATGTTTTTAATTTTTATAGGAAAACCAATAGCCATCCGGTTACGGGGACTACCAAGTTTTAATTATACTACATCTATTTCTGGTCGTGTGGAAGTATTCTACAGTGGGAAATGGGGAACAATTTGTGATGACGGTTGGGATATGAATGATGCAAGGGTTGCATGTCGTCAACTTGGATATAAATACGGTGTTAGAGCTCTTAGAAGGGATTCTGTTCCTGATGGTACTGGGCAGATATGGTTAGATGATGTTGCTTGTTCTGGAAATGAGCTAAGCTTGAGCAGCTGTCCTCACAACGGATGGGGCAATAAAAATTGCGGGCACAGTAAAGACGCAGGAGTAGAATGTACTTCAACAGGTATTGTACTTTTACTGGACTGGTTATGTGAAATTTTGCCGTCTTGGTCACTCAACTGTGTGTGTGACTTTATTTCCCCATGAAGAGCGCTACAAATACAATTATTATTATTATTTATTATTATTTCTGATTTGCCACACTATACCCTGAGTTAAGTGAACACACATGTAAATTATTTACATATAGATATAAGTAGAAGGCGAGGAGGCATCCTGAAACCAAAGCCTTGTAGATTGGATGTCTCCTCGTGACAATTTGCCAAGGTAAGTGATAAATAATTAGATTACAAGTTGATCTATTATGTTATTGATAAGGTTGAAGAGAAATCAGTGTTATAATTGTTCTTGTTTTAAGATTGCATGGATTAAGGAACTTTCTAATAAGAACTTAAGCATTTTACTCCTGAAGTAACTCAATGTCTCTGTCAGTTTTAAGAATATTATGTGGCAAGGAGTTCCAGATTTTGGGAACTGGGAAAATAATTGTAAACTGCTCAGTAATTGTTTTACATGCATGAGATCGATATAAACTTGAATTTCTAGTATTGTAGCTGTGTACTTGATGACTAGTAATGAATAAGTTGTGAAAAGGTGGAGGAAGTAAACATTGACGATAGGAAACATGAATTTCGGTTTTTGATATGTATGAAATTTTGTGAATATCAAGATATTTTTAATTCAGTAAACAATGCAGGCGCAGTATGCGCACGATAATCTGATTTGTCAATGCTCCAATTCGTTTGTGTAACAGGTATATCCGTCTAAGATTAGTTTTACAATTGGATGACCAAACTATGTTACATTACTTACATTAGGTAAGGTATGGATAAACTAAAGTATAATATAAAAATAGTTTCATTTTGGTCGAAAGATAGTAGCGTCATCTAAAGATTATGCCAGTGGATTTTGAAATCCTTTTATTACAATTAACGATATATGTGATTTCCAGGAAAGGTTTTCGTCAATAACAACTCCCAAAAATTTAATACTTTGTTTTTGTACTAGCTGGTTTGTATCTAGTCTCCTATGCAGACCTACTTTAGCGGGTTTGGGCCCGCCACGTACGGTCTGCTTACTTTGGCTAGCAATTCGCTTTCCCATTGTATCCCATTAGCCAATAGCATTCAAATACACTAGACAACGCCCACTTTGAATGTCAACTGTAAAGTGTAAACAAGGAGCGTGCGATAATCGAATAATAATACGGTATATATACGTATTTAAATGGCCATAAATGTGAACAGATCGAGTTTTCTGATCAATAGCAGTCGAAGTAGAAAGTATTGAATATTTTTTCAATGAAAGTACACGATAGATAGGTCGAAGGCTTAAATGTATATAAAACTATTCACTGGTAAATATACTTGTTTTGAACTTGACGCGACTGCGTTCACTTGGGCAGCGTTTACACTGTACCGTTTTCGTAGCGTTCTCGTATTGTTCGAGAGAACTAGACTATTGTCTTGCGTTCCCTTGAGGATTAAGAACAATACGAGAACGCTACGAAAACGGTACAGTGTAAACGCTGCCTTGTATATTCAATATATACTATAAGTTTCCGAACGTTCAATATCAGAGCGACTTTCGTAATTACGATTTTATTAAACTTTATAAACTGGCTAGTCATATACATTAAACTAAGAAACCGAAATATGCAATGAATTAATTCAATATTTTATATAGGCCGAATTCTGCAATCTTCAATTAGTATTTAACTATTTATAAATCTATTATCTACACCCGCAGTATAAATGTACACTGTTAAACTTTACTGACTTTGTCTTGACGTCTTTGTCCAGTATATTACCTGTGTTAACAGTAACACCTGGTGCAAACGCTTGTATAGAAGTAATCAAAACATCGCGAAATATTTCAGGTGATATTGTTCGATTTTACTACACTGTATTTCACTGTCTGTTCAAAACAATAGCTCGACAAATTCTATATTGTTCCATATTGTAGATTTGTAGACTGGTATATGTATAACAAATATGTCTCAGCTCTCGCAGATAATCGGCTTATTAAAGATATGAATACGTACAAATCAAGATATGAAATGTTCAAGATTAAATGTTTTGAAACTTTTGACGACCCAAGCCTCAAGGTCAGTCAAAGGTCAAGCCCCACAATTTTCGTGGGTAAAGCTGTGATTGGTAAATTTTGAGGAAAGGAATTCTTGGCCAAAGTAATCATACCTTACGTGAGGGCACTGCCCGCTAAGTAGGTATGCGTAGGAGACTAGTTTGTATCAAATATAATGGATATATTCTTGCAGATTTATTTTTTTTGCCTTTGAATAAGATATAGTTCGTTTTGCTGATGTTTACCGATAATATATTAAAGTCAACATATTTCAATTCTTCATTTATAACATTAGCTAATTTATTATATACATGACAAAATCACTGCATTCTGATTGTTAAGAGGAGTGCAATTAGTATACGTAATCGAATGGCCCGCCATGGGGCCGAGTGAGATTTAGATTAATACGGTCATGATTTAGATTATTAGAATAATATTAATCAAATTTAGGTATTACAATAAATAAACATCGACAGTGGCAATAAACATCGACAGTGGCAACTGACATTTTATTTTATCTCAAATAAAACAAAAGTTATTCTTGTTAGTTTATTACATGAAGCACGTCCAAATTAAAAATGCAAAACAAAATGTCGGTCATGATGGCTGGAAAGCGAAAGTACAAATCTGGGGCACAAAAGAGAGCAGAAAAAAAGAAAAAGCGGAGAGTTCTTTATCAAACACAAGTTGCATATCAACATTTCTTCAAATGAAAGATAATGTCGACAATAATGAAGACCCCACGTCTACTAGCAGTAGCAGTAGCATCGCTGAAGTCGAAGACGATTCCTTTTTTGACAACGCCGAAAAAGATTTAAATTCCTCTATTTGCCCTGAGTCCAATCATGATGTTACTGGTGACAAGGACGAAAACTTCACTCCCTTGAAACTTTCCAGTTCTACTTCAGAAGCAAAGTTGGATAAAAATAAAGATCTGGTATTTGATACGACAAGAAAGTTCCCAACTGACCGTGGTCATTTTAAAGGAAAACATAACAGATTGTGATTTGAAAATAATGGTTATGGATCACGAGTCATGCAGACCGACAGGACCTTTCGAATATGAAGATGAGGAAGGGAATTCAATAGTGAATTTCAGTGCCAGATACTACAATAAGTATATTGATAATATGTCAATACAAAGACTTTGGTTATGCTATTCAATGGAACTGCAAAAACCTTATTGCGAAGTTTGTTGGTTGTTTGCTGATCGTGCATCACCAAATTATGAAAATCATAGAGGATGGATAAATGGTGTATCTGGTAGCTTGCATAATATGCTTGAAAAAATTAAGAGGCACGAAGCTTGCAACATGCATATTCAGGCAACTGCAGTCTATATGAGATGGAAATCTGGCAAGACTGTGGATGAAATAATGAGAAAGAAATCAGAAACAATGCTCTCTTCTGGGTTAAAGTTCTTGACCGAATCATAACAATAATTTTGACTCTTGCCACGCTAACTTTGGCATTTAGAGGTCACAACGAGCACGTTCATGATAACATTTGTGAAGGTGGAAACTTTCTTGGTATGGTATATCTGATGGCTCAGTACGACGAGATTCTTGCAAAAGTTATCTCACTTCCCGCCCGTGCAACAAAGTATCTTAGCCCAAAAATTCAAAACGAGTTAATAGAACTTCTAGCAAAAACAGTCACAGTTTCTTTGGTTCACAAGATCAATGCTTCGCCATTTTGGGCTCTCATTTTAGATTCTACTAGCGATATAACTAGAATTGATCAATTAAGCGTTATAATACGGCGGGTCCAGATAGATGGGGACAAGTGTAGTATTGAAGAAAACTTCTTGGGTTTTGTAAAATGAGATGATGCAACAGCGAATGGAATAGTATCAACCACAAAGGCGTTTCTGCAAAGTCTTGGTATTAACTTTTCAAAAATACGTGGACAAGGGTATGACGGCGCAAGCGTAATGAGTGGTATTCATGCTGGCGTGCAAACGTTGATTAAATGTATGGTTACTGCCCCAGTTCCTTTCGTTCATTGCGGCAGCCATAATTTGAACCTGGTAATCAACGATCCTGTCAATTCAGTTGTAGAAAATGAGAATTTCTTTGGACTATTAAGGGAACTATTTAGCTTTTTGCACCTTCGTTAAACAGATGGAGAGAACTCGGTCTTGAAGCTGAAAAAGATCTCTTACGCTCAAGAAATTATGTACAACGCGATGAAGTTCGCGAATTGATGCTGTACGGGCCGTTCGTGACAGGTATCTACATATCATGAGAGTATTAACACGGTTGTCTTTAACATCTACTAATAAAGCAGAAAGAGAAGATGCAAAACAATTGAAAAACAAAATAGATAAACTCGAATTTGTTATATTTATCGTTATGTGGGAGAGAGTTTTGCGAGCAATCAACAGCGCTTCAAAAGAGTTGCAGTCGCAAAAGATTGATCTGTCCGTCGCATCAAGGCTTTTAAACTGTGCATTGTCGGAACTCGTGATCTTAAGAAGTTCTTGGAACTCAGTTCTTTTAACTGCGACAGCATTAGCCCAGTTCTGGAGTTCATCTGTAACGTTTGAGAACAAGAGGAATCGCAAAACAAAACGGTTTTTTGATGAGCTTTCTACTGATCAAAGATTAACTGATCCTGAAGAAGCTTTCAAAGTCAACGTATTTTACCAAACGGTTGACAATGCCATTATGCAACTCAAACAACGGTTTGAAGGTCAGAAAATGGTCACCAGTCTATTCAGTTGCCTTCATCCACAAAACATGTCTCAGTTAAAGTCACCTCAGCTTGAAACTGTTGCAGAAGCAATTGTAGAAGAATATCCAACTGATTTTACAGAAGAACTTGTGTCTGAATTTCGATCTTTTGTCAACGAATTCAGAAAGGAAATCGCAGAGCGACAATCTGTTACGGATGTAATTCGTTTAATGCTTGAAAGCCGTGTCAGTTCCTCTTTCTCGCAAGTGTATAAACTCCTCATCCTATTTGCAACGATTCCCTGTTACAGTTGCAACAGCAGAACGCTCTTTCTCTAAACTGAAGCTGATAAAGACATATCTCAGGTCTAAAATATCCCAAGAAAGGCTTTCAGGTTTAGCGATACTTTCCATCGAAAATAAAGAAGCGAAAGTTGTTGACAAGAACGAGCTGATCCACCGATTCGCCAATGCAAATGCGAGAAGGAAGGAACAAATAGGTGTTTAAGTTTTACAGTTTACGTAATTAAACTTAATTTGTTAAACATTGACATTCTTGACATTGGCATTGTCCAGTTTTAGTAAAAATAGATTATATAGTGTATAGATTATATAGATTATATATTATATAGATTATATATTATATAGAACATTAAAAATATATATATATATATATATATATATATATATATATATATATATATATATATATATATATATATATGTATATATATATATATATATATATATATAGCATTACAGAGGTTCTAGATTTCAAAAATTTTCGGGGGAGCATGCCCCCCCGACCGACCCCCCCCTAGGAAGGTCGCGCCGTGAGACACGTACGGTGCGTTTCGTCACCAACGATGTATGACAAAAGGGCCCCCGACACAAAATATGCCTAAGGGCCCCGTGTTCCTCCGTTACGCTACTGCGGCTGTCACTGCCTTAAATTAATAAATACCTTTCCAATAATAAGGCAGGTGGCTTATACATGCATGGAGGGCTTATATTTGGGGGGCGGGGGTTGTATTTGGACTGGCCTAAGTATTAGTAAATATGATGGACTTATACACAGGGGGTTATATTGGGTGGGGGGGGGGGCTTTAATTCGGAGGTTTACAATGTGACCAAAAAGCAACAGAGAGATATCTTTATGGGACAATGATTGGTTTAATATCCCAATGGATACTACTGTAAGCTTGTGAGGTTCAATAGTCCAAATTTAAAATATGCTATCCCATGGTTATGACTGCAAATGAATTCCTGTGCATAATAACATACTGTATTGGTGTTGTGTACTCATGTGAATATGATATTTGTGATGTTACTCTGAGTGTATATCCACACCGGGCGAGCATATTTTTCAAGTGCCTGCCCGGTGTGGATATACACTCAGAGTAACATCACAAGCATCTTATTCACCCGAGTACACTACACCAACACAGCAAATATCATGATTATTAGATTACACTGATATCGAAGGAACTAGACTCAGTTCCGAAATATCAAATACTCGAACCGACCTGACAGCGTAGCTCAGTTGGCAGAGCATTGGTCTATAGTATTCCAAAGGTCGTAGGTTCGATTCCCACTGTGGCCAGGCATATTTTTTGGGCCTGCCCGGTGTGGATATACACTCAGAGTAACATCACAAGCATCTTATTCACCTGAGTACATTACACCAACACAGCAAATA